AACTGAAGTCAAAATCACACAACCAATAATCAATCGATTGGACAAATCCAATCAATGGGTATTTGTATTTCCGGCTAAAGTACCTATAAAACTCAAGTGCTTTGGACAAGAAGAAATCAGAAAAGTTATTGGAACCTTTCTAGTTCGTATACCAACCAGTTGCCAAATAACTATCTCTTCGAGACTGATTATCAACGAAAAGAAGCCTCTGAAATCAGATGCACAACCTATACTATTTCCTGACCTTCCAAATGTACCTGAATTAATGCATTCCCTGAATTTAGGTACACACTTGAAAACCATAAAATTGGACAATCTCCACCAACTAGCTAATGAGATTGTCGAAAACCGTTTGACGTTTACTGAAATCAGAAGACTACCAAGTTTGGGAACCATTCTGATATATGCTATGATCCTTGCTGGGTGTGCTGTTCTTGGCTATAAGAAACTAGCACCGAAGTTGAAGAAACGAAGAGGGGACAACCACCCCGAAGAAGAAGCCCGACCAATCCAACTTCCTCGCTTAGCATGAAGTTGTATCTCAAGAAGGGAGGAGTAATGTCAGCTCTATTTGCTGACCATTCATATAAACTGCTTAATTCGCTTTTCTTTATTATAAATATCGCTGCCCGCCTAGAATAGTTAGTCAGTTGAATTGTAATTATATTTCTTATTTGAAACTTTGTAACGCGAACGCGAAAGTATTTCTCTATTGTAATTTAGTGAATAAATTGTTTTTTAAAAACTTGTTATCGGCCTACGTATTGATAACTCCTGTAAATTCTGGCGGCTAAATGAGCATTTTGCAATGATTCTGCCTTAACAAGTATCTGCATATTCGACGTTTGTGAATATTTTATTTTCAACCACCTAATATTCTTTCTTGTGCTATGTTGCCAAATATTTAGATACCGAATTACGAGTGAAGGTGTCATGTCTTTTCAATTTTTTATTATTATTGTCGACTAAAAATCCATTATTACTTAATAATTTAATGAGCAAATTTTTTTTTTTGATCTCATAATGATTAAATTTTTCTTGATCTCTCAAATATTCGTTAAAAATTGTTATAACTTCAAAGATCTTTTCCTTAAAAATGATTGAGTTTGGACGTCATGTTGTAAAAACTTTTTTTTGTTCAAACTGGGCTCCTAGAAAATGTAATCCTACTTTCAGTGGTCATTTCGTTCCGGAACCGTTGTATGTGGGTCCAAACTGCCAAAAAATCGCGTAGTGTGTGATGAAAACAGGCTGCCGATGAAACACGACGTTGTTAATCGCGACGATGAAAACCGGCGAGACAGAACGTAGTGTATGGGGTCCTTTAAGCCAGAATAAAATGTCGGATGAATGTCTAACCAGTGTACCTACTTATTTATTTTTGTGTGTACCTACCCTACCACCACCTCATAAATACCATACTAAACTAATACCATAGCTAATACACTCGTCACATAGTAATGTCACATCACAATTGAATTTTATAGAACATTTTTTGACAGTTGTAACAGCCAAATAAATTTTGTTATTTTGTCATGTGACACAAATCACCCAATCATGTCAACATTATACTGAAAACTGCCCTAGGGTTGTTTTTACTTTGGGACATTGCCTCGGGTATTGCTGTCAAAAAAATTTCTATCCTAATAACCTTCGAACATTGAAAAATACTTAAAAATTTTACAACAACTTTGTCAAGCTTGTTGCTTATAGAAAACAGATTTCCGCTGACTCCGCTAGCACGTCAGTCTGTTTTTAAGTAACAAGCTTTCGAAATCTGTTAATAATAAAGTCCTTGGGCTATTACTACTGAAAATTTCATGGAATTTTATGAAATTTCATTGAAAATTTCATAGTGAATCATTTGATTTTGAAAATTTCATAATATTTTGGAATATTTCAGATAAAATTCAAAAATTTTCAAATTTTAATATTTCCATGAAAATTTCAGACTGAAATTTCCAGATGGAGTGAAAAGTGAAATTTACCCATCCGAAATTTCATGAATATTCAGAATTTTTTTAAGTATTTCCTGTAATTTCTAAAACTTTCCTAAATAATTTATGAAATTTCCTGAATAATTTCTTAAATTCCTCAAATAATTACTGATTTCCTATGAAATTTCTGACATTTCCAAAACAAAAATTGATAATTTTTAAAATTTCTGAGAGATTTCTAATTTCTCCCCAAAATTTCCGAACATCTCTACAATCTCGTTTACATATTTACTGTAGTTTTCTAAGAATGAATTTTTTTTTTTGCTGAAATATGTACCAACAAGTTGGCTGTTGGAAAGTATCCTTCAACTGGTTTAATCTTCAATTGTCAATCATTATAGAGGGCACCAAATGGATTAGAAATGGTAATTTTTCTAATCAAATTGTACAGTGTGGTCATTTTTTCTTGATAACTGTCATAATTTCTTAATTTTTAAAATTATTTAAATAAATAAAAAAAAACAAAGTGTAGGGTTGTTTTCAAAATTTTAGATAGGATGGACAAAAAACAAAAAACTAATATATTTTGACAGTTATGCACACAAATAGCATTTGACACACGAACCTGAATTTGATGGTATAGGGTATAGGAAAAGCAAGATGTTGTCTATAAACGCAGAAAATAATTAAAAGTTCAAATACAGGAAAAAACCTTGGAAAAAACATGTAATGTATCGCTCTTTTATTAAAGACTTGTTCTCTCTGCTAATTTGGAAGGGTCCTGTGCCAAAGAGATTCAGTGGTCCAAAAATGATATATTTTTGTTTTGCTTACTTTTTGATGGTTTGGTTTCTTATGCCATAAAATAGTTCTATGTCTTTTTTAGGGTGCAATGATCCCTATCAATGTCTGTCACACAACCTATACCTATACCATTTATCCCCATAATAGCAAAGATAATACTTTTCAACTATTCCTTTTGGGTTTTTCTTGGGGTTTGCTCAGTTGTTTCCTCTTGACAAGAGTTTCCATATTTGCTTTCCAAAGTGTGTTTTACACTTGGTTCCATATTTTCTTCATATCAGTTTTGGTACCCTTCTTTTTCGGTTTCTTTATTTTTTTTTTTTGCTCTTTTTATTTGCTACTTGCTTCCTTAGCTATTTCTCACTGGAGATGGAAGTAGGAGTTTTAATTTGGATCCTCATCAATCGATCCCTTGAGATGCTACCTTTTTTTCCTCAAATAACCAGCAGAGTGTGGACTTTCTTACAGTTTTGATGACGCCATAGATCTTATTTTCGAAAACGATGAAAAGAAACTCGTTCCAGGATTTAGGTTATTTTTTATGTTCGGATCTTTCACTTCTTCTATTGCAACATATTCGTCTTTATTAAGGTTTATTTCGGTTTCCAGCACCTTGTCGACTGAAGTTTCCTCATCTTCTATGGTTTCATCGTATACCAGCTTCTCACCTTCTAATGTATTGATTAATTGATATATCCTCAAAACAATCAAAGGAATGTCTTATTAAAAATTTCAGAAAATGATTATTTCACATGAAACATGAAAGCGACCAAAAAACCCTTATTATGGCTCGATTCGCCTCAAAAAACACATATATGTTTTCAGCTTTGCATGTCAAATTCAAAGGGTAAAAATCCTGATATATTTACTGTGATACTTCTAGCTTACGATATGTGTCTATATATACCTTTATCTTGTTACCAGAGTCCTTATTCTTAAAACAGGGGAGCAGCGTTTCCAGGAGAACATTTGTTGCGTCTTTCTCAATGCAACTGATATATTGTATAAGTAACAAAGACGGAACACTCGTTCTCCTGGGAACTCTGCTCTGATAAATTCCTAATTTCCGATAATAATTTCAGTAAATTTTCTATAATTTCAAATAATTTCCCAATATTTTTTGACTAATTTCCTCGCTAATTTCCTAATATTTTGAATATTTTCTCAATATTTCAAATAGTTTCCTAACATTTCCCAAAATTTCCTAACATTTCCTCCTATAATTTCTGAAAATTAACATAATTTTTGACAATTTACAGGAAATTTCCGTAATTTCTCAACATTTTCTGAAACTATTTTGAGATTTGTACACCTATTTTTGACTGTGAGGCACCCCTCGCTATCACCAATATGTTGTTCAAGTACGATACTAACCTGACTCACTCAAACATGAGCTATTCTCATTAGTTTAAAAACTACACGGTTCAGGTGAATGTCCTATTTAAACAGTATATTGGTGAGTAGATGGCTGCGGAACTCGCTGCGCTCGTCCCGCAGAGGTCCACCCATAAGTTCCGTAACAAACCACTTATTTGTACTTAAAAAATAACCTATTATGTAAAGTCAGAATTTGTAAGATTATCCACTTTTTGTCAATTTGTCTTTTAACAGGAATTAGTAAACTAGTAAATATATTGTAACAAGTTATTCAAGTACAAACGAGTGGATTGTTGCGGAACTTATGGGTGGACCCAGCCATCTATTCACCAATATGTTGTTTAAGTACAATACTAACCTGATTCACTCAGTTGTGAATTTTTCTCATTAGTTAAAAAAGTACACGTTTCAGGTGAGTGTATTATTTGAACAGTTCAATAGTATATTTGTGTCCTACGACCCATATATTACTCACTATTTGATAAAGATTTAACCACATTGCAGAATTCAGATTTTCTAAATGGAAACAAGTACACACACACTGTCTTACTTGTTTCACAGAAAAACATTAAACTTTCATTTATTTTATTCAAGGATTTACAATCACATGATCAGTTTTTGCAGGTATTTAGTCTGTAAGCTGTAACTTCAATATTTTTTGACGAAATGAAATATTTTTTTTTTTACCTAAATGTAACACGTTAAAGCTCTTACCCGTACGACTAATTCATCGACCATACAAAAACATACAGTTGCGACTAGGGAATTCTTGAATTTCCAACTTGGGTTTTTATTTTTTTTCTCAAGATTTTGGATGGGGTTCCACATTCATCTAAATACGGGAAACATTAAAAATCATCATATTTTTTTTTTTTTTCACAGCTCAAAACCGAATGCGAATCAAAAGCCACTTTCCTAATCAGCCTGCACTCTATAGCTGAAGAGGCCGTAGTACAAGTATTCCATGAAAGAATCCTATTAGACCCTTTAAGAGTCACTTTATCAGACGAGACCCTCAATGCTTTGGTGAATTTTCAAATTAATCATTTAACAGGCTCAGAACAATTAGATCCAAAAATACAAGGGCTAATAAAGGATGTTGTACCACAAGGTACTGGCGAAGTTATTGTTGTACCTGTATTGAGACAAGAGTGTAAAGGTAAAAGAGATTTTATTGAATTAATTAGCTAATTAATCAATTTATAATTTTCAAAGAAAAAGAAGTATCATATCCAGTATATTTAGTATGCATAGTAAACCCAGTAAGAGACAGCTTATACATATCAAAAATAGTGAGCGAAACTTTCAATTATTGTTTGACGTTGTTTTTAAATACGAGACAAAGCGAAGATGAAAGAAGACTGAAGGCCGAGTGTCAGAGTCTCCTGTTGGTAGCCAGGAAGCTTTTTTCACATTTAGGTATTGTCTATTCACAATCTGTAGTCCAAAGGTACAGGTAAAATTTATCACCTTTTAATGCTATTTGATAGGGAAAGGTGATAAACTTACCTGTACCTTTCGACTACAAATTGTGAATAGGATATAAATGCTACAACATTCATTATTTTATTTTATTTTTTGAATCAAAATTTTAGGTGATTTGAGTGATTTATTAAAAGAAATCATGTCTGAGGCCAGGCGATTAACCAATGCTGAAAGATGTTCTTTGTTTCTTTTGGATCCTGATCATTTGCATTTGGTTGCTAAGGTTTTTGATGGTGTAAGTCCATCTGAAAGGAGTACTGAAGTGAGGATTGCTGCTGATCAAGGAATCGCCGGTAAGGATTTATTATTGTTATTGTTATATAGTCTCTGCCACAATTTTTCTTGTTCCAATAACATTTCAATTTCCTCCATTTTATTTTTCATCAATCCCTCATTTAGATAAATTATTTTTATTTTGTTGTCCATAAGTAGTACTATAGGCAATCTTTCCTTTAGCTATTTTTTTTTTTATGTTGGTAAATAGGGCACTTATCAGTGTTTGCTTTTTGCTTCATATCTAGAATCATGCTGTGTATTATATATTCGGTTACTTTCCCTATAGTTAAACTTGCAAATCAAGATTCACAGTCCCAATATTTATGCTGTCTGCTGCAATATGAACAAATAACGTGGTTCTCGTAGTTTTTTTCTTTATGGTTATATGGACAACATCTATGGCAAAACATAATATCAAAGGCTCAATGGCGGCTCGTCCAAGAAGGCAGGGGAGGCTGAACCTCCCTCAAAAAATTGAAAATTCAATCTCAGTTTATTATTATTATTATTATTATTATTATTATTATAGGGGTTTTTGACAGTAGGCGGAAAAACCGATAGACTGTCATTAGTTCTTGTGCTGGGAATGTTACTTGCCAGTACACTATTTTACAGCCTATCACTAAAATATTTATCAAGTCTGTTCTTAAAGGCATTCACACTAGGGGAGGTTACAACCTTGTCAGGGAGCTGATTCCACTGTTGCACCACTCGGTTTGTGAAAAAATTCTTCCTGGAAAATCTGTGGCAAAGTTCGGTGGAGAGCTTCAGGGAGTGTCCACGAAGATGAGGGTTGATATTTCTGTGAAAGAAATCAATGTCGCATGTGTAATGATTTTTATTCCTGATTCCTAATTAAAATAATAATTCACCGGCCCGAAGGGCCGGAATTATATGCGAGCCCGAAGGGCCGGAGTTGTACGCGAGCCCGAAGGGCCGGAGTTGTACGCGAGCCCGAAGGGCCGGAGTTGTACGCGAGCCCGAAGGGCCGGAGTTGTACGCGAGCCCGAAGGGCCGGAGTTGTACGCGAGCCCGAAGGGCCGGAGTTGTACGCGAGCCCGAAGGGCCGGAGTTGTACGCGAGCCCGAAGGGCCGGAGTTGTACGCGAGCCCGAAGGGCCGGAGTTGTACGCGAGCCCGAAGGGCCGGAGTTGTACGCGAGCCCGAAGGGCCGGAGTTGTACGCGAGTCCGAAGGGCCGGAATTATATGCGAGCCCGAAGGGCCGGAGTTATACGTGAGCCCGAAGGGCTAGAGTTATTTTAATCACGGAGCCCAGTCTATAATTCTATTGGTCAGCGGATAATTTGGAGCCAATCAAAGTGAAATTTCAAATTTTTCCAGTTGAAAATAACCCCATTAGAAATTAATGAAAATCAACTAAATTAGGCATAAATGCACCATTTAACATTTTATTTTTTTTTTGAAAAACTATCCAAGGAAAAATTATGATATTTTCTGAAAAAAAAAAGAAGAAAGTCAGGGGCGTATCATAGTAAAATTTCAAATTTTTCCAGTGGAAAATAATCCTATTGGAAATTAATAAAAATCAACTAAATTAGGCATAAATGCACCATCTAACATTTTATTTTTTTTTTCTAAAAAACTATTTAAGGGAAAATTATGATATTTTCTGGAAAAAAAGAAGAAAGTGAGGGGCGTATCATAGTGAAATTTCAAATTTTTCCAGTTGAAAATAACCCCATTGGAAATTAATGAAAATCAACTAAATTAGGCATAAATGCACCATCCAAAATTTTATTTTTTTTCTGGAAAACTGTATAGGAGAAAATTATGTCATTTTCTGGAAAAAAAGGGGAAAGTCAGGGGCGTATCATAGTAAAATTTCAAATTTTTCAAATGGAAAATTACCCTTATGGAAATAAATGAAAATCAACTAAATTAGGCATAAATGCACCATCTAACATTTTATTTTTTTTTCTGGAAAACTATTCAAGTGAAAATTATGAAATTTTCTGGAAAAAAAGAAGAAAGTCAAGGGCGTATCATAGTAAAATTTCAATTTTTTCCAGTGGAAAATAACCCCATTGGAAATTAATGAATATCAACTAAATTAGGCATAAATGCATCATCTAACTTTTTTTTTCTGGAAAACTATTCAAGGGAAAATTATGACATTTTCTGGAAAAAAAGAAGAAAGTCAGGGGCGTATTATAATGAAATTTCAAATTTTTCCAGTAGAAAATAACCCCATTGGAAATTGATGAAAATTAACTAAATTAGACATATTATCTAACATTTTATTTTTTCTTGGAAAACTATCCAGGGAAAAATTATGACATTTTCTGGAAAAAAAGAAAAAAGTCAGGGGCGCATCACACTAAAATTTCACCCACGAAAAACAACAAAATTTCAAATAATTTTAAAAATTAAATAGGGGTACGTTCGATAACATCTTTTTTAGTATAAAAAAAGGACCCGCTCAGGAAAATCAATGGAATTGACAATTGACAGTGTTAACCCAGTCACCAAAAAAACACTTAACTAACGGCGTTTCCGATTGGTAGATCTAGTGCGGAACTAGTGCATTTTTTTCTATTTCTGTCTTTTTCTCCTACAGGTCGATCAAAAGGATACAAATACACTCAATGAATCTACCAATCGAAAACGCCATAACATTTTTGACAGAAATACATGCTCTATCAATACTAAAACAACAGACCCTATTCAGCTGAAGAAAAAAAAAAAAAGTGACTAGACATAAGGGCTTGCACGCCAACACATTAGGAAACCAATAGGATTAGGACTTGTTGTTAATAGAGAGTAGGATTAGGCAACAAATAAGGATTAAGAAGTGAATAGATTAAGAGCTTGCAGCCAACAAATTAGGATTTAAAATAGGCTAAGGAGAACTAGAATAAGGAATAGGATAAGGGCTTGCACGCCAACAAAATAGGTTTAGGAAATTTAGAATAAGGGCTTGCATGACAACCTAGATAAAAAAAAAGAGCACACCCCCTAAGTATCCATGGTCGAAGTTGGGTGTAGGGGTTCCGGAATTGGAACAGGTGTCGCCTTGACAGTGGTTTTGTTACCTGAGAGCATGGGCACCCTAAAACGAAATTTTGCCTGCTGCGCAGTGGTTACCTTACCGTAATTCATAATTTTTTAGCCTCCTCACTTGAAATAGTCACGAGCCGCCACTGCAAAAGCTTCTCTTATTACACATTTATTCCACCTCAAGGAAATCTCTTAATTTTTTAATTTTTTAAATGTTGCCCCACTTGTATTTGCATAAATTATATATGTCGATTTTCTGCTTCCTATAATTACAATTTGGTCGTTTGTGTCAATGTAATGGAATGCCTTCATTTCTTCCTACAATTCATCATTACTATAATTTTCTTCATAACCGATAACTGTCACTAGGTACTTAAAATTCTTGTAGGTCACGTGGCCGCCACCGGTCAAATACTCAACATAAAAGACGCCTACAAGCATCCCTTATTCTACAAAGGGATGGACGAAGCTACCGGCTTCAAAACCCGCAACATTCTTTGTTTCCCAATCAGGGATGAGGACAACATTGTGGGAGTGGCTCAACTGTGCAACAAAATCAACGGCCATTTTGATTATTTCGACGAACAAGTCGCTAACGCTTTCAGCATTTATTGCGGAATTTCTATAATGCACAGCTTAGTGTACAAGAAAATACAAGATGCTCAAGCAAGGAGTCGATTGTCAAATGAACTTATGTTGTATCACATGCAGGTGATAACTTGTTTCTATAAATTCGAATATTTTTTTAATATTATTAATATTTTAGGTCAGTCGTCAAGATGTCCTTGACGTAACAATGTGCCCAAGTCAGCACGAAATGCCACATTTTTCAAAATTCAGTTTTACGCCTCGCAATATTTTGTTGAAAGAGTCACCCTGTTTCGTACTGAAAATGATGCAAGATTTAGGCTTTATTGACACATTCCGGATCAAGCAGGATATTCTAGTGCGTTTCATACTCTACGTCAGAAAAGGGTACCGAGACGTACCTTATCACAATTGGTCCCATGCTTTTTCCGTAGCTCACTTTGCTTATTTGGCTTTGAAGAATTTTGAGCTTGTAGAAAAAGGGTACTTCACGTAAGTATTATGTCAAAAATCAAGGCTGTTTAAAAGAAGAGGTTGCGTAGTAACTTTTATGACGTCATTGGTATACCACTCATTTATTGATACATTTTTTTTTTTTAGCCAATTAGAAGCTTTGGCCTACTTCATTTCCTGTCTATGTCACGATATCGACCATCGTGGTACCACCAATTCCTTCCAGCAACAATCCAATAGCGTTTTAGCTTCTTTGTATTCCAGTGAAGGTTCTGTAATGGAAAGACATCATTTGTCCCAGACCATTTGCACTCTAAATACTGAGGTAATTTTTTTTTGAAATTTTGCTGTTTTTTAATGGGGTTTTTTAGGGGTGTAACTTTTTGGAATCTCTATCCAAAGACGACTACGTTAAATGCCTGGATTTAATCAAAGACATGATTCTGGCTACTGATTTGGCATCGCATTATAAAATTCATTCGAGACAATTGACCTTGGCACAGGTAAGATTTTTCCTATTCCCATAATGAAGGTAAAATGGTGAAAGTGGCCTTTGTAAACCAGGCTTTAGGAATTTTTTTAAAACTTATCGGCAGTTGAGGGCCAAGATCTCATTGAATAGAATCCTATTTTAGTGACGTTTCATATAGGAATAGAATTCTGATGCCAAAATGTCAAAATTTATCTCAAATAGAATTCCATTTATTATGATCTAAATTTTATCAAGTAGGCCATGTTTTTATCCAACTGTCAAAAAATAGGCACTTTCTTAAATTATGACGTCACAACAGCAAAAAAAGAAATCGCCTACAAATGGTTGTGTCTATCCTTGTCAATTTTTTTAACTATTACCTCTCCTCAACCAATAGTGACATACAATCTTAGACACTTAATGACATTTTTCATAAAAATAAACCATTATTTTGTAGGTATCTTTTCTAATTTGACATGAATAACAATTGACTGTCTTAAACTCAAAAACCATGACTAGACAAAATATTAATTCCATCTCTTTCTCATGTCAAACCAATTTTTCTGTCATCCGGGTCCTGTCACAGTTGACAGGTACACATTGACTTAAATGTCATTCTTTATCAATGATACTGACAATGACAATATTTTTGATTCAATGACATTTATTTGAAGTTTCACAGAACAATGTTAACACAGTCTAAACCGTAATTTTGAAGGTACCTATCTTTTCTAATTTGACATTAGTGACAATTAACTGTGTGGAACTCAAAAGCTGTGAATAAACAAAATATTCATTCCATTTCTTTTACATCTCAAACCAATTTTTCTGCCATCTCTGTCATCCGGGTCCTGTCACAGTTGACAGGTAAACATTGAATTAAACGTCATTTTTTATCAACGTTACTGACATTGACAATATTTTCGATTCAAGGACATTTATTTGAAGTTTCACAGAACAATGATAACACAGTCTAAACCATCATTCTGTACGTATCTTTTCTAATTTGACATTAACGAAAATAGATGACTGTGTTAAACTCAAAATCTGTGAATAGACAAAATATTGATTCCATCTCTTTTACATAAACTAATTTTTCTGCCATCTCTGTCATCTGGGTCCCGTCACAGTTGACAAGTAAACATTGAATTTAACGTCATTTGTTAACCAAGTTGTTTATGTGTCAATCAATGTTACTAACAGGTCAATAGTGTTAATTCAATTACATACATTTATTCAAAATTTCACAGAACAATGTTTAAACAGTCTAAACACTATGTTAATGATATAATCCGTAATGATATTGCTTAGACTGTGATAATATGATTAAAATTCTTAATTTGAACCAAAAAATTGATAAAATATTCACATCCTCAAACTATTGACACCTAACTTTGTTGAATTCTATTCTTTTAGGCGTCTCCCCTCAACAAATAACGCGATTTGACGTTCTTTTTATTTAATATAGCGCCGTGGGCATACCTAACTTGACTGTCAATGTAGTTTTACATTCAATTTCAATTTAAATGGAAATTGAATGTAAACGTACCTTTACGATTCTCAAGTTTGTTATGCCCACGTCGCCATCTTGAATTATCAACTTAGTTCGATTTGCCTAATAGCGAAATTTTCCCTCTGAGATTCCTTCCCAATCACACATAGCAAATTTTTCTCGACTTTTTTTTTCTCGACTTTTTTTTCCCAATTTTTTTTCCCGACATTTTTTTTTTCCCGACAATTTTTTTTCCCGACTTTTTTGTTCCCGACTTTTTTGTTCCCCGACTTTTTTTTCCCGACCATTTTTTTTCCGAATTTTTTTTCTCGACCTATTTTGCCAGACCATTTTTTTTTCTCGACTTTTTTTTTCTCGACAATTTTTTTTCCTGACTTTTTTGTTTTTCCGACTATTTTTTTCTCCGACTTTTTTTTCCCAAAAAAATTTTTTCCCGACTTTTTTTTTTGCTCGACTCATTTTTTTCCGAAAAAATTCGGAGAAAAAAAATGGTCTGGAAAAATAAGTCGAGAAAAAAAAAAGTCGAGGAAAAAAATTGTCGGGAAAAAAAAATTGGGAGAAAAAAGTCTAGAAAAAAAGTCGGGAAAAAATGCGGGAAAAAATTGTCGGAAAAAATGGGTCGAGTAAAAAAAAAAATCGGGAAAAAAAATGGTCAGCAAAAGAAAAAAACGGGGAAAAAAGTCGGGAAAAAAAATTATTGTGAAAAAAAGTCGAGAAAAAAAAATGTCGGGGAAAAAATTGGTCAGGAAAATAAGGAGAAAAAAAAATCGGGAAAAAAAAAACCAGAAAAAAAAATCGAGAAAAAAGCCGAGAAAAAAAAAGTCGGGAGAAAAACAAGTCGAGAAAAGTAGGTCGAGAAAAAAAAAAAGTCGAAAAAAAATGGTCGAGAAAAAAAAGTCGGGAGAAAATGCGGGAAAAAATTGTCGGAAAAAATGGGTCGGGCAAAAAAAAGTCGGGAAAAAAAATTATTGCGAAAAAAAAATTGAGAAAAAAAATTGTCGAGAATAAAAAATCAGGAAAAATAAGTGGGGGAAAAAATTGGTCAGGAAAATAAGGAGAAAAAAAAATCGGAAAAAAAAAATCGAGAAAAAAGTCGGAAAAAATAGTCGGGGAAAAAAAAAATCGGGAGAAAAACAAGTGGAGAAAAATGGGTCGAGAAAAAAAAAATCGGAAAAAAATGGTCGAGAAAAAAAATCGGGAAATAAAGAAGTCGGGAAAAAAAATGGTCGAGAAAAAAAAAGTCGGGAAAGAAAAAAGTCGGGGAAAAAAATGGTCAGCAAAAAAAAAGTCGGGAAAAAAAATTGTCGGGAAAAAAAACTGTCGGGAAAAAGAAGTCGGAAAAAAAATGGTCAGCAGAAAAAAAAGTCGGGAAAAAAAATTGTTGTGAAAAAAAAGTCGGGGAACAGAAAAGTCGGGAAAATATGGGTCGAGTAAAATAAAAGTTGGGAAGAATGGGTCGAGCAAAAAAAAAGTCGGGAAAAAAATGGTCAGCAAAAAAAAAGTCGGGAAAAAAATTGTCGGGAAAAAAAAAAGTCGGAAAAAAAAATCGAGGAAAAAAAAGTCGAGAAAAACAAAGTCGGGAAAAAAACGCCGGAAAAAAAAATCGGAAAAAATGGGTCGAGTAAAAAAAAGTCGGGAAAAAAATTGGGAAAAAAAAGTCGGGAAAAAAATGATCAGCAAAAAAAAAAGTCGGGAAAAATAAGTCGGGGATAAAAATGGTCGGGAAAAAAAAAGTCGGTCAGGAAAAAAAAAATGGTCGGAAAAAAAAAAGTCGGGAAAAAAATGGTCGGAAAAAAAAATGGTCAGCAAAAGAAAAAGTCGGGGAAAAAAAGTCGGGAAAAAAAATTTTTGCGAAAAAAAAAATTGAGAAAAAAAATTGTCGAGATAAAAAAATCAGGAAAAATAAGTGGGGGAAAAAATTGGTCAGGAAAATAAGGAGAAAAAAAAATCGGAAAAAAAAATCGAGAAAAAAGTCGGAAAAAAAAGTCGGGAAAAAAAAAATCGGGACAAAAACAAGTCGAGAAAAATAGGTCGAGAAAAAAAGTCGGAAAAAAAATGGTCGAGAAAAAAAAAAAAAAAAGGAAACAAAAAAGTCGGGAAAAAAAATTGTCGGGAAAAAAAAAGTCGAGAAAAAAGATTGTTGAGAAAAAAAATCAGGAAAAATGAGTCGGGAAGAAAATTAGTTGGGAAAAAAAGAAAAAAAAAAGTCGGGAAAAAAAATGGTCGGGAAAATAAGGAGAAAAAAAAAGTCGGGAAACAAAAAAGTCAGGGAAAAAAATTGTCGGGAAAAAAAACTGTCGGGAAAAAAAAAGTCGGAAAAAAAAATGGTCAGCAGAAAAAAAAGTCGGAAAAAAAAATTATTGCGAAAAAAAAAATTGAGAAAAAAAATTGTCGAGCAAAAAAAATCAGGAAAAATAAGTGGGGGAAAAAATTGGTCAGAAAAATGAGGAAAAAAAAAAATCGGAAAAAAAAATCGAGAAAAAAGTCGGAAAAAAAAATCGGGAAAAAAAAAATCGGGAGAAAAACAAGTCGAAAAAAATAGGTTGAGAAAAAAAAAGTCGGAAAAAAAATAGTCGAAAAAAAAAAAGTCGGGAAACAAAAAAGTCGGGAAAAAAAATTGTCGGGAAAAAAAAAATCGAGAAAAAAAATTGTCGGGAAAAAAAAAATGGGAAAAAAAGTCGGGAGAAAATGTGGGAAAAAATTGTCGGAAAAATTTGGGTCGGGCAAAGAAAAAGTCGGGAAAAAAAATGGTCAGCAAAAGAAAAAATCGGGGAAAAAAATTATTGCGAAAAAAAAGTCGAGAAAAAAAATTGTCGAGAAAAAAGTCAGAACAAATAATTCGGGGAGAAAATTGATCAGGAAAAAAAAAAAGTCGGGAAAAAAAAAGTCGGAAAAAAAAAATTGGGAAAAGAAAGTCGAGAAAAACAAAGTTGGGAAAAAAACGCGGGAAAAAAAAGTCGGAGGAAATGGGTCGAGCAAAAAAAAAGTCGGAAAAAAAATGGTTAGCAAACAAAAAAATCTTAAAAAAAAAAACGGGAAAAATAAAGGTCGGGAAAAAGAAAGTCGCGATTAAAAATGATCGGGAAAAAAAAAGTCGGGAAAAAAAAGTCGGGGAACAAAAAAGTCGGGAAAAAAAATTTTCGGGAAAAAAAAAGTCGGAAAAAAAAAAAGTCGGGGAAAAAAATGGTCAGCAAAAAAAAAAGTCGGGAAAAAAAATTTTTGGGAAAAAAAAAAAGTCGGGAAAAAAAGTCGGGAGAAAAAGGCGGGAAAAAAAAGTCGGGAAAAATGGGTCGAGCAAAAAAAAAGTCGAAAAAAAATGGTTAGCAAACAAAAAAATCTGAAAAAAAGTTGGGAATAAAAATTGTTGTCAAAAAAAGTCGGGAAAAAAATGGTCCGGAAAATAAGGAGAAAAAAAATCGGGAAAAAAAATGGTCAGCAAACAAAAAAGTCTGGAAAAATGTTGGAAAAAAAATTGTTGTCAAAAAAAGTCGGGAAAAAAATAGTCACGAAAATAAGGGGAAAAAAAATCGGGGAAAAAAAATGTGGAAAAAAAAATCGAGAAAAAAGTCGGGAGAAAAAAATCGGTCGGGAGAAAAAAATGGTCATGAAAAAAAAGTCAGGAAAAAAAAATGGTCGGCAAAAAAAAAAATCAGGAAAAAAATGTTCAAAAAAAAAAAAACGGGAAAAATAAAAGTCGGGAAAAGGAAAGTCGCGATAAAAAATGATCGGGAAAAAAAAAGGCGGAAAAAAAAATTCGGGGAAAAAAATGGTCAGCAAAAAAAAAAGTCGGGAAAAAAAATTGTTGGGAAAAAAAAATCGGGAAAAAAAGTCGGGAGAAAAAGGCGGGAAAAAAAAGGCGGGAAAAATGGGTTGAGCAAAAAAAAAGTCGGAAAAAAAATGGTCAGCAAACAAAAAAGTCTGGAAAAAAGTTGGGAAAAAAAATTGTTGTCAAAAAAAGTCGGGAAAAAAATGGTCTGGACAATAAGGAGAAAAAAATCGAGAAAAAAGTCGGGAGAAAAAAAAAATCGGAAAAAAAAAAATCAGTCGGGAAAAAAAATGGTCATGAAAAAAAAAAGTCAGGAATAAAATGGTTGGCAAAAAAAATCAGGAAAAAAGTCGGGAAAAAAAATTGTTGGAAAAAAAAAGTCGGGAAAAAAAAGTCAATCGGGAAAAAAAAAAAGTCGGGAAAAAAAATGGTTCGTCAAGAAAAAAAATTGTTTGCAAAAAAAAAAAACGGGAAAAATGAAAGTCGGGAAAAAAAATGATCGGGGGAAAAAAAAAAGCTGGGAAAAACAGTGGGGACACAAAAAGTCAATGGTAGATGTTGAGCTACCTTTGACAGCCCCCTCCGTTCTGTCTCTGGACTCCTGTCTTTAACCAATCACACATAAACTTCTCTTAAGCTCCTCTCCTCACACAGTGGCGAACCGAACTTTTCCCTTTATAGATTTTTTCCTTGACCAATGACAATACAATGTTAATATTCTCAACAAGATTTTGCCAATAAAAAAACTGTTCTGACTATGACTACAAAAAGTTCTTTGCACTCACAGTCTAGAAGTTACAATACATTTATTCTAATAAGTTTTAGGTGTTTAGACTGTGACATATCAAAAAAATATAGTGACAAGGGCCAGTAGATGTTGAGCTACCTTTGACAACCCCCTTCGCTTTTTCTTTAGACTCCTCCCTCTAACCAATTACACTCATGTTTACTTTTCTTCCATGTCAAATCATATATGGCTATTTATCCTTTTTAGCCAGTGGCGTACTTTCCCGTTTTATAACTAAAAAATTCAAATTTCCTTATAGGAAGGCTACGATAAAACCCAACCGGAACACAGGTACTACTTGGCCAGTCTCCTGATGACTTGCGCCGACTTGTCGGACCAAACCAAAGATTGGGCCGAAACCAAAAAAGTCGCCCAACTTATTTACGCCGAGTTTTTCGCCCAGGGCGACCTCGAAAAGAAAATGGGCAAAACACCTGCTAACATGATGGACAGAGAAAAAGCTTCTATACCCGATCACCAGCTGGAGTTTTTGACTCAATGTTGTATTTGTATTTTTAGGTGAGACAATATTAGGTTTGTTCGTACAGTGATTACAAACCAGTTTTAGAATTCTAGCTACGATATTTCCCCACGCTAAAGTTTTAGTGGACGCCATCAAACAAAACATCCTCTGTTGGGAATCTTCAAAGAGGATTTTCGAGAAGTTTAAATTGGAGGGTAAAACATCTTACGAGGTTTTGGTCAGTGAAGAATTGGAATTTGAAGTACGGAGCACTTTGGATAATCTCAATTGAGTTATTTGTAGCTTTGTTCCAACCAACATGAGAACCAGTAATTTCCAGTCGACCAATTTATTTGTCAAGTTATGTAACTGGAAATTACTGATTCTCATGTTGGTTCGAACAGACCTTATATATCAAAAAAAGGCGTGCAATAAATTTCTGAGCTTTATATATAGAATTGGGTTGTTTATAAATTGATATTTTATTGAAAAAAAACAAATATACAAATTGTAGTTGGACTATTATTACTCTTTTATAGCAGTTTCCAGAAATCCAGACATAATAGGATAAACTGGGTCGTAGTTGGTGGAATTTTTAGTTCTCACTAGGCCCTCGTATTTTTGTAGGGCTCCAGCCACTAAATCCAATCGTTCGGATTCGGTTGGATGTTCATCCAACCATGCTGATATTTTTGGTAAAGACCAACCTAAATTTGAATTTTTAAAGTTTGAAGCAAACCTAACATAATCTAAAAACTATGAGTGAAATTACCTGTATTTTGATGAGGACTAGCTAAATCAGGTCCGGCATAGGAAAACAGCATCAGCAAAATCGTACTGTGTGGTACCGAACTGCCCTGAGCTTGTCCCGCAATGATTTCTTCAGGAGTTTGGGTTATCAAGGAGGCCATGGATTTTAGGAGCCTATAAGGCCTGCCTAGGCTTGATAATTGGGGGCAAATAAGTTTCAAGGCTTCCTCCAAATGGCGGTAATCGGTTTGAAGCCTTTGACGTCCTCCAGCTGAAATGGGACGTAAAATTGACGAATGACGGACTAGTAGGTCAATGCTTCTTAAGGCGATTTCATTGCATCTAGAAAATTTCATTTATTACAATTGAGAATTTTGAGTAATTTTTAGTTACTTTTCAGACAAAACTTCTTTATTTTGAAAATCCTTAAGGTAAGTATTATAAACTCTATTAATAAAGTGCACTAGTTCTTTCATATAAGGGCTGCACGAGATGTTTTTGTTGTTCAAAACTGGCAATTTGGTCCAGTCGTTTTCCAAATGCATCGTTACAATAATTGTTTCCACAACAGAATTAATCGAAACTGGAAAAAAATTAAATGATTAATTATTAAAATGTGTTCTTAGAGAAATCGCAAACCAGTCAATAGCGTTTTTGATTGGTGCAAATCACCAACAACCAATGAAATTCGGTTTGTGATTTCTGTGAAAACAGACCAATTATTACCAATTAGTGGTTGCATAATGGCAGCAGTTAAAACGTTAAGGTTGAGCAACGTTTCGGTTATACATTTGGTGGCATCTTCGGTTAAAGTGTCTCGCATGTTGTTCAGCATTCTTTGCACTTGGGTGTGCAAATAAAACAAGCTGTTGGCGAATTGGACGTTTTTGTTTTGGCCCGCGTTTGGAGCGCCACCTGAAAAAAAATAAATTGGAGTGGAAGCTGAAATCTATCAGAAAAAAGACCTCAGTATAATTGAAAAATTCAACGCAAATTCCTTAACATGATTTTATTTCATGGACATTTTATCTCAGGAATGATAAGTGCAAATGAGCTGAAATTTTCAGGGATTGTAGTCCTCTACTGGAATAAGAATCGCTGAAAATTTCAGCTTTCTATTTATTATAGAAAAAAAGTTATGACTTTCCAAAGTTTTCCAAAATCTAAATCATAAGGTAGGTACCTTCTTACTAAAACGATGAAATTTCAATTTTTTTGTTGTTGAGATTTTGTGTCCTAATGGTCATTTAGGATCCCCCAAACTCCATACACTAAATTATTCTCAGATTTGAAGCTGAAATCCATGAAAAAAGGCACTCAGAAAAATTGATAAATCACCCCAAATTGCTTAACACGATTTTAACTCAGGAACTATAAATCCAAATGAGTTAAAATTTTCAGGGATTGTAGTCCTCTACTAGGATAAGATTTACTGGAAATTTCAATGCTTTTTCAAAATTTCTAAAACTCACCAATCACTTGAGCAGCTTCCGGACCAGTTTCCAACTGCTGCTCAGTTTTCACTGCAAACATTTTCATACATTTTGCCACATTTTTAGCTGTTTGCTCACTCAGATGTTCTTCGACCAAGGCCATACTCAATTCACTATGGAAAAAAAATCATGAAAACATCAATTAAAAATAAATCAATTAATTTACCTTGTCAATACTCTTATTAAAGAGTCAATATTGTCCTGACTTGGAACATTAATTTCTGCTCCAAACATGTTTTGCACAGGATCTAGGATTCTTGTAAGAGATGATGATAGGTAAGAGTTTTCTAATTTTTTCAATACAGAACGGCTAAAAATTAATCATTTATTTATTTGATTTAGGGCCCATTTATTCACCTTCTAATAAACTGTCAGGTATACCTACAATCTGTAACCCTATTAAGCAGTTATCTGCCAACCAATGGAATTATAGAAATTTATCTTGCAAGTTTATTTGAAGATGAATAAGCTGGGACTTAATTAAAAAAACCTTCAACTTACTCAAACTTAAACTGATCATAATCCAACTTCTTCATCATTTCATAATAATACTTCAACAATTTAGGAAAATCTTCTTCAAGCATTTGCAATACAGCAGAAGATGTTTGCTTGATTTCCTCCTGAACAATTTCGCCTAACTTTTTCCAAAAACTTGAAGCCAAGTTTTTGTCCAAATTATGTAACTCATTTACAGTTGTTTGTAGAAACTTGATTTGTTTGCAAATTTTAAAAATGTCTTCATTAAAGCTTTTTTCAAGTTCTGACCAGATTTTGGTTCTAAAGCCTTGAGACGAACTTAGCTGGATTCTACCAGCACCTTTTGATTTATTAACTTGCAAATTGGTTTTTAATATTTCACGACATTCGTCAAGGTTTTGCTTGATTAGATTATCAATTGTTGTTTTTATTGTGCCTAAATTAATGAATATTTGTAAAGCTGTTTGGGTTTGGGCCAAATTTTCAGTGATTATGCCTTGATTTAAAGAACCAGTGGCTAATTTGATTACTTTTTGCTGTTGCATTCTTATGTTTCTTAGTTCAGTGGTTACTGCATCAATATCGGTTAATTCTTGGTCGGCTGCAAGTTGCTCAAGTTCTTGTAAAATTGTAGCTTTTTGTACTGGGTCGTTTGTGTTTGATAGTCTTTTGCTTAGCTGTTGTACTCGGCTAACTTGTCTCAAAATGTGACTGGCTCTGTGTAGTCTTCCTAAGACTTTTGTGTGTTTTTCTAGTTGCTCGCAAGGAACTGTAATCTTTAGTTGATTTATTAGTTTTTGTTAAGATGATCAAGGTATCATAGTAAAATTTCAAATTTTTCCAGTGAAAAATAACCCCATTGGAAATTAATGAAAATCAACTAAATTAGACATAAATGCACCATCTAACATTTTATTTTTATTCTGGAAAACTATCCAAAGGAAAATTATGAAAATTCCTGGACAAAACGAGAAAAGTCAGGAGCGTATCATAGTGAAATTTCAAATTTTTCCAGTAGAAAATAATCCCATTGGAAATTAATGAAAATCAACTAAACTAGGCATAAATGCACCTTCTAACATTTTATTTTTTTTTTTTCTGGAAAACTATCCAGGGAAAAATTATGACATTTACTGGAATAAAAGAAAAAAGTCAAGGGCGTATCATAGTGAAATTTCAAATTTTTCTAGTGATAAATAACCCCATTGGGAATTAATGAAAATTAACTAAATTAGGCATAAATGCACCATCTAACATTTTATTTGATTTTTCTGGAAAACTATCCAGGGAAAAATTATGACATTTACTGGAAAAAAAAAATCAGGGGCGTATCATAGTGAAATTTCAAATTTTTTTAGTGGAAAATAACCCCATTAGAAATTAATGAAAATTAACTAAATTAGGCATAAATGCACCATCTAACATTTTATTTTTTTTTCTGGAAAACTGTTCAGGAGAAAATCATGACATTTTCTAGAAAAAAAGAGGAAAGTCAGGGGCGTATCATAGTAAAATTTCAAATTTTTCAAATGAAAAATAACTCTATTGACAATTAATGAATATCAACTAAATTATTCATAAATGCACCATCTAACATTTTATTTTTTTCTGGAAAATTATTCAAGGGAAAATTATGAAATTTTCTGGAAAAAAAGATGAAAATCAGGGGCGTATCATAGTAAAATTTCAATTTTTTTCAGTGGAAAATAACCCCATTTGAAATTATTGAAAATTAGCTAAATTAGGCATAAATGCACCATCCAACATTTTATTTTTCTTCTGGAAAACCATTCAGGGGAAAATTATGACATTTTCTGGAAAAAAAAAGGAAAGTCAGGGGCGTATCATAGTAAAATTTCAAATTTTTCAAATGGAAAATAACCCTATTGGAAATTATTGAATATCAACTGAACTAGGCATAAATGCACCATCTAACATTTTTTATTTTTTTTTTCTGAAAAACTATCCAAAGGAAAATTATGAAATTTTCTGGACAAAACGAGAAAAGTCAGGGACGTATCATATTAAAATTTCAAATTTTTCCAGTGAAAAATAACCCCATTGGAAATTAATGAAAATCAATTAAATTAGGCATAAATGCACCATCTAACATTTTATTTTTTTTTTCTGAAAAACTATCCAAAGGAAAATTATGAAATTTTCTGGACAAAACAAGAAAAGACAGGGGCGTATCATACTAAAATTTCTAAATTTTCCAGTGAAAAATAACCCCATTGAAAATTAATGAAAATCAACTAAATTAGACATAAATGCATTAAGTATCTAACATTTTTTTCTCTGAAAAACTATCCAGGGAAAAATTATAACACTTACTGGAAAAAAAGAAAAAAGTCAGGGGCGTATCATAGTGAAATTTTAAATTTTTCTAGTGAAAAATAACCCCATTGGAAATTAATGAAAAACCGAGGGGCGTACCACCTAGGAAATTACTGTACACTTTGCCTCAGAAATACTTGGTAATACAAGAAATACGTGGATAATACCTAGTAATACCAGTAATAATTGAAAACTGTGGTAATATCTCAGGAAATACCTGGTAATACATCGGAAGTATTGGTAATACTTCAGAAATACCTGAGTAATAATTTGAAATACCCAGTAATAATGATGAAATTTTCTGGACAAAACGAGAAAAGTCAGGGGCGTATCATACTAAAATTTGAAAATTTTTCAGTGAAAAATAACCCCATTAGAAATTAATAAAAATCCGAGGGGCATACCACCTAGGAAATCACTGTACATACACTTTGCCTTAGAAATACTTAGTAATACAAGAAATACGTGGGTAATACCTAGTAATACTAGTAATAATTGAAAACTGTGGTAATATCTCAGGAAATATCTGGTAATACATCGGAAGTACTGGTAATACTTCAGAAATACCTGAGTAATAATTTGGAAATACCCAGGAAATACCCAGTAATAATGATGAAATTTTCTGGACAAAACGAGAAAAGTCAGGGGCGTATCATACTAAAATTTCAAAATTTTTCAGTGAAAAATAACCTCATTGGAAATTAATCAAAAACCGAGGGGCGTACCACCTTGGAAATCACTGTACACTTTGCCTTAGAAATACTTAGTAATACAAGAAATACGTGGGGCGTATTATACTAAAATTTCAAAATTTTCCAGTGAAAAATAGCCCCATTGGAAATTAATAAAAATCAAGTAAATTAGACATTAATGCACCATCTAATTTTTTTTTTTTGCTGGAAAATTATTCAAAGGAAAATTATGAAATTTTCTGGACAAAACGAGAAACGTCAGAGGCGTATCATACTAAAATTTCAATTTTTTTAGTGGAAAATAACCCCAATGGAAATTAATGAAAATCAACTAAATTAGGCATAAATCACTATATAACATTTTATTTTTTTTGGTAAACTCTCCAAGGGAAAAATATGAAATGTTCTGGAAAAAAAGGGAAAAGTCAGGGGCGTATCATACTAAAATTTCAAAATTTTCCAGTGAAAAATAACCCCATTGGAAATAAATAAAAATCCTAGTAAAAATCAACTAAATTAGACATAAATGCATCATCTAATATTTTTTTTTTCTGGAAAACTATCCAGGGAAAAATTATGACATTTTCTGGAAAAAAAGAAAAAACTCAGGGGCGTATCATAGTGAAATTTCAAATTTTTCTAGTAAAAAATAACCTCATTGGAAATTAATGAAAATCAACTAAATTAGACATAATTGCACCATCTAACATTTTTTTTTTCTGGAAAATTATTCAAAGGAAAATTATGAAATTTTCTGGACAAAACGAGAAACGTCAGAGGCGTATCATACTAAAATTTCAATTTTTTTAGTGGAAAATAACCCCAATGGAAATTAATGAAAATCAACTGAATTAGGCATAAATGCACCATCTAACATTTAATTTTTTTCCTGGAAAACTATTCAAGGGAAAATTATGACATTTTCTGGAAAAAAAAAGAAGAAAGTCAGGGGCGTATCATAGTAAAATTTCAAATTTTTCCAGTGGAAAATAACCTCATCGGAAATTAATGAAAATCAACTAAATTAGGCATAAATGCACTATATAACATTTTATTTTTTTTGGTAAACTCTCCAAGGGAAAAATATGAAATGTTCTGGAAAAAAAGGGAAAAGTCAGGGGCGTATCATACTAAAATTTCAAAATTTTCCAGTGAAAAATAACCCCATTGGAAATAAATAAAAATCTGAGTAAAAATCAACTAAATTAGACATAAATGCACCATCTAATATATTTTTTTTTTCTGGAAAACTATCCAGGGAAAAATTATGACATTTTCTGGAAAAAAAGAAAAAACTTAGGGGCGTATCATAGTGAAATTTCAAATTTTTCTAGTAAAAAATAACCTCATTGGAAATTAATGAAAATCAACTAAATTAGACATAATTGCACCATCTAACATTTTTTTTTTCTGGAAAATTATTCAAAGGAAAATTATGAAATTTTCTGGAAAAAAAAGAAGAAAGTCAGGGGCGTACCATAGTAAAATTTCAAATTTTTCCAGTGGAAAATAACCTCATCGGAAATTAATGAAAATCAACTAAATGCACCATCTAACATTTTATTTTTTTTCTGGAAAACTATTCAAGGAAAAATTATGACATTTTCTGGAGAAAAAGAGAAAAGTCAGGGGCGCATCACATCACAATAAAATTTCAAATTCTTCCCGCGAAAAACAACAAAATTAAAAATAATTTCAAAAATTAAATAGGGGTGTGTTTGATAACATCTTTTTTGGTATAAAAAAAGGACCCGCTCAGGAAAATCAATATAATTGATAAATGAAAGCGTAAACTGCCGTAAACCCAGTTACCAAAAAAACACTAAACTAACACTTTTGACAGTTGACATTTAAAATGTCAACTGTCAAAAAATACATGCTCTTTCAATACTAGGGATGTCAATAACCGGTGGTTAAAACCGAAAAACCGGTGTTTTCTCTTCGGTTAACCGATTAAAACCAGTTGTTTTTTGGTTCCAGTTATAACCGGATAACCGGGTTTTATACCTAATAACCGGTGAAAGTAGATCTAGTTGACTTTTCTCTCATCTTATTGAATAATTATGAAATATTGAATAAGCGACAACAGACAACAGTAGAATATTTCCACAGTATTTAACCAATAGTAGTGCCCATCTTTAGTATTTCATATCAGTTTCGGTTAATTCGTTCAGCTGCTGATCTTCAGCAGCTGGTTGTTTTCCATCTTTCCCTAATGAACAGGATTGAAAAAGACATGAACATGTAGGTTGAGGACGTTAAGGTACATATGTCAATGGGTACATGTTTAAAATCACAGATGAGAAATAATCATAACATGTAACAGTTCCCAATTTTTTTTACAATAAAGATATGTTGTTGTTTAACTTGTTACATAGTATAAATTATGCAATTATTCTGATAAAATTTGGAAAAATATTCGAACAACCAGTTAATCGAAATAACCGGTGTTTTATATCAGTTATAACCGGGCAGTTAAAACTGTTACTAAATTAACCGGTTAATGGAAAAACGGGTGTTTGAAAAAAAAATTGACATCCCTACAATACTAAAAAAAGAAAAAAGGTGGTATTTTAGAATTTAGGCGTACTATAATGACCTTTGATAGTACATAGTTTATCTTTAATTATAGTACGGTTGGCAACACTGTTGATGACACATCTGGGGTGCCTTATGGAGATTTGCATTATAGCACCCCAGATGACGTCATAAAAGTTATAAGATGTCAATAGATAATGAGAAATTAACTATCACCTGTGTCCGTAGTCTTTCAGCATTGGCAAACAAATTTTGTATGTGGACATTCATGGTATTTAAAACGTTTTCTAGTTTACTAGCATGACTGGCTTGTCTCAGTAGGTCGTCGTGGTTTTCCAGCACTTGCCTTTGTAATTCTTTGTTTAGGATTTCAATGCCTTCTCCTAGTTTTTTGATTTGTTCACTGAAAGCCAGGGATTGTTTTACGGCTGTTTTGGCCTGGTTTGTTAAGAATTGCTGGAAGAATTCTAGAAAATATAATTTAGTTAGGAAGTTGGGAGGGTTTACAAGGCTTAGTTACCATCATTTTCGATTTCTTGTATTGTTTCTGTTTGATTTTCCATTTTCTTGTAGAGGTTTGTTTACTCTTTGATTTGAAACGTAAACAAAAATAAAGTTAGGTTATGTTGACATTTGTCACAAATGTCTTGACAATTTTGTTTGGGTTCCGTTTATTAATTAATATAATTATTAATTAATGAAACTGTTTAAATAATTGGAAAATTACAATAATTAATTTAATATCAATTAATATTAATTACAATATGTAATAATAAACGACTTTAATTTACCAAAAATACGTTTATTGAAACCCAATGGGAAAAAAAAGAAGAGAATGACAGTATAATAAACATAACCTCAAAAAAAAAAAGTCAAAGAAAGATTCAAAATCAAAACACTTATTACATCATTTATTAATTAAAAATGTCCAAAATAGCCCTAACAAGGCTTTGCCGCAATGTCCTATTCAATCAACCAAGGGCTGGGGTTCTAGGGGCTGCCAGACAAGCCTCAGATTGGGTACCCCAAGAAAAAGAAACTCACACTGGACAGGTACGTTGTTTTCTAAAAAAATCAGGGCCTCAATTTATTCTGGAATCAGTTTCTTCTCAATTATGTATGTATTTTTCTGTTAGAAATGGGAGGAAAACGATTACAGACTGTCAAGATTCGTGGATCGTCCAAAAAACGTAAATCCAAACTTTGCTATTAATCTAATTGACGAGGTGCCTCCTAAACAGTGCAAAGACAGGGTAGTTTGGTGTGACGGAGGTTCTGGACCCACAGGACACCCCAAAGTTTTCATCAATCTGGTAAGTTTTGTCTCAATTTTTTAAATGTTTTAGGCCTAGTTTATTTATCTTCAGATAAACTCACTGATCTATAATCTTATTGGTTAACAAATAACCAATGGGATTATAGATTGGGTTATGAAAAGTTGAATAAATTGAGCCTTAGTAGCTTAAAAATGTATTAAGATTGAAGTAAAGATCTAAGGCTTGATTTCATTTTACAGGATAGGCCTGGAAATCACACTTGTGGATACTGTGGCCTGAGATTTTTCAAGGATGATCATTGCCATTAAATGAGTATTTTTTCTTTAGTGATTATATTATGCGTTATATTGAAAATTATTTGAAAATAAATGTAGAGGAAAGTTAAATTTCCTCATTAATAAAAATAAAGTGTGTGTACGAGCTAATCAGTGGACTGTATTTTTAAAAAGTTATCAAAAATCGATAAATGGCAAAACCAATAAAGGACTTACCCCGAAACTGCATGGGTTTTATGCACTAAAATAATTGGTTCTGGTTTGATTGCCGGCAAAAATCGTTTTCATCTTTCGGACAGCGACAGCACATATTTTCGGCTACTACATCTCTCTGTCCTTATTTAATCAAGAGCGCACTCTTGTTCTCTTTTACGGTACCGCGCGAAGAGTCCATGGAAATGCCATTCTCACCCGCAATTAATAATTGAAATTTACACTTCAAATTTAAGACATATATACAAGTTGCGTTTAAATTACCCAAATTACAATACGATAAAACGTAAGTCCCAAACATTACCGCCTACCAAAATACCGAATGCGTATTTTGTATAAAACAAAAATAAAAAAAATATATATAAAATTATAATCCTAATAAAAAACATCCTGAACAAGCATAGAGAAGCCTACTGACCAGGTAATGGGCAGAGTTTTACCACCGGGCGCTGAAATAGGCCGCGAGCCGTTCTGTGTTACTACCCTGCAAACCCCATCAGAGCCTGGATGTAATTTAACGACTCTCGCAAGTTCCCATTGTAAAGGAGGAAATTGTTCATTTTTAAGAACCACAAGCATATCAATCTTAGGTGGATCTGAAGCGGTATTCCATTTATATCTCTGAGACAGAGTATGCAAATACTTAACGCGCCATCTTTTCCAAAAGTCCCGACTCATACGTATCAATAATTGCCAAGGCGTTAGGGTATTTAATTTGCAACTGGTTAAATCAAAATCGGGAAGTGTCGTGATCGGTTAGGGTCGGAACTTATGGGACTCAATGGTCTTGAATTTAACATGGCTTCTATTTGTACTATAATAGTGTTCAGTTCCTCATAAGTCAAAATCTGATCTCCTATAATCCGTACTAAATGAGTTTTAACCGATTTAATTCCTGATTCGGCTAATCCATTAAAATGTGGGGCGGCAGGAGGATTAAAGTTCCATGCAATTTTCTCAGCTTCAAAAACTGACTGCATTATGTCTTTAATATATTTATTTATTTATTTATTTATACTCATTTAAAACACAAGAATTTTTGTAGTTACATTAAAAGAGTGCTTACTGCCAATACTAACCTATATGCATATCTATCCTAACATGAAGAAACAAGTGAACAAACAAAGAAAATAAAAAGAGCAATAACATCAACATACAATATGGTAAAACAATTTAAAAACAATTCAAAAAGACTAAAAGTTGGCTTCAAAGGCAAGTTTAATCCTACTTACCGAGGAACTAAAAAAGTCTATATCACATTTTTCTATCACAATATTACATTCTTCCAACATTTTGTTCATTGGCGAACAATCAAACTTATCAGTAAAAAACAGTCGGAAGTTGCCTATCCTTAAGTGCACTTTTGGGACAAAAAAATTAATACTATTTATTAAAGAACAATCTTTGTACTTAATGCTATTTATTATGTTATAAACGAATAGGGCTGAATGCATATTTCTTCTACTGCTCAGCCGAGGTAGACTAAAACAAGTCAACATGCTATTATAGGAGATCATATATGGGTACACATTAAACTTCTTTACATAGAGAAATCTCAGGAATCTTTTTTGAACTTTTTCTATCAGATCACTGCTGGATTCGGCTTTCGGCGCCCATATGACAGATGCATATTCCAAGTGGGGTCTCACTAGTGCATTGTACAATAGTATAATGGTTTCAGTTCTTTTGAAATACTTCGAGTTCCGAATAATGAAGCCAAGTGTTCTGTATGCCTTTCCAACAATAATCTGATAGTGCTCATTGAATTTAAAATTTTGTTGAAAGTGTACCCCCAGATCCCTACAATTACTTTTTCTACATATCACAGAGTTGTCAATTATGTATTCGTTCTCTAGGAGTTGTTTTTTTCGTGTTATTGTAAAAACCTGACATTTAGAAGTGTTGAGCATCATTTTATTATCCTTGAACTACTGACAAGTTGAATTTAAATCGCATTGTAGCTCCTGTGAGTCCCGCAATGTTGAGATCTTAAATATTTTGAAATCATCAGCAAATAGAAAACTTTTTGAGTATTTAACACATCTTGGCAAATCATTAATAAATATAGCAAAGAGAAGGGGACCCAAATTGCTACCCTGGGGCACCCCTGATGTAGGTATAAAAGACTCAGACAGCCTCTTCCCTACTCTAATCTGGTTCAACCTGCCAGAAAGATATGACCCCACATACATACATGCCTTGAAACCAAAGTTAAATTTGCTCAATTTTTGAATGAGTACAGAGTGATCCATCTTGTCAAAGGCTTTAGTACAGTCTGTCAAGTCAAGATGACATCTAGCTGAGCTTTGCGATTAATAGCCTCTGCTGCTGAGTTTGTAAAAACACACAGATTTGAGACAGTAGACATTTCTGGCAGAAAACCATGTTGTCCTGGGGAGAAGCTGTCTCTAAAGAAAAGCAGAATATTATTATCATAGAGCAATCTCTCAAATATTTTGGAAACTGAGTTCAGAACACTTACAGGCCTATAGTTCTCAACACAGCTAGAATTGCCAGATTTGTATATGGGAGTAATAACTGCATGCTTCAAGCTAGTAGGAAATTTGCCCTGTTCAATTGACAGGTTATAGATTAGAGCAAGAGGCACTGATAGAGCTCCTGCATATCCCTTAAAAATAGAGGCTGGTACACCATCCCGACCCGTAGCCTTCTTTGCCTTTAACTTTTTTATACTTTGTAGGACCTGTTCTACTGTTATTCTTGAAAAATAAAAAGTCCCCTGACAGTCCAATGTATTCAAATTATTTGATTCTTGAAAAACGGAGCCAAAGTATTTTCCAAAGGCATCAGCAATAGCCTGACAGCCAGCTATACTTTCACCACCATAGGAAACTTCTGATGGAATTCCACTACTCACACCACGAGATCTCACAAAGGACCAGAAACTATTGGGGTCAGTGTGTACATTGTTCTCAATATTTTCATTATAAGACTGGAGTGCTTCCCTACTAAGCCCTTTCACACCACTTCTCAAGGTTCTGTACTCATTCACAATCGAGAAATCTGCATTACCAGCATTAATTTGCCTATGAAGACGGTTCTTACGTTTAATTTTTGAAATAAGATCACTGGTAAAAAAGACCGGATACCGGCTTGATGCTTTTGATGCTTCTCGTGACTGTTTTTTGGGAACTGATTGATCAATACAGGCGTACAACTTGTCATAGAAGAGCTCCACATCAGAACAGCCCTCCAATTCTGCCCAGTCAGTATCTTGAATCAGTCTATATAACAAGAGAAAATCACCTTTCGAGTAGTCATAAATAAACGACTTTTTTATGCAGTCCATGGTTGTGTCAGAGAAATGGATTATCACTGCGAGCTCGAGAGAAGGATGATAAGCATCTTCATTTACCAGTGGATTGTTACATTTTACTGAATCACCAACATTCATGTTTGACAGTATAAGATCCAATTTCCTTTGCATGTGATTGAAAATTGTGTTGCATTGGGTAAGATTGTGGACGTTAATAAAATTACTCAACAAATCACTATTTATACAGCCCTTATTACTACCAAAAAGAGGCAAGTTGAAGTCCCCTAAGAATAAAATATCAACATTTGTACTTAAAATATCATCAAAATCTGAAAAAAACTGGAAATATTCATCATAACAACTATTTGGAGGAATATATGTAACACACAAGTAAAATAACAATTTCTTAAATTTAACTTTTAGCAGTAAGCACTCAATATTACCACTAATATTAATTTGAATTAGCTCGACTTTAAATTTGTTTTTTATTGCTAGCAAGACACCACCGCCTCTGGTTTTTTCATTGGATCTGTCTTTTCTATGAACTGTATAGCGATTATCAACTAGTTCAGCATTTTTCACACTTTCCGTTAACCATGACTCGGTAACTGCTATAACATCATAATCTTCTACTGTAACGGCAGTGAAAAACTCATGGTATTTAGTCCTCAAACCTCGTACATTTTGATAATAAATATTTAATTGTGTATTCTTACTTGGGGAGTTTTTCCTGTTCGTGCCTGTACTTCTTTGTGAGGGTCCACCTGGGTTAATGGCACCCTCCTCCTCTGGAAAAACCGAGACACTAGTGCTCCACTCGGCCATGCCTCACGTTTCCATGCACTCCTGAAGTCTTCCTGTCTAATAGTGACTTTCATTGACGAGTAAGAATCTGGATACCTAGACTCATGCTCTTCGCAAATAACATCAGAAAAGTTTGGCTGAAGAAATGCCCTAAGTTGATCAGGCTTGATCCCTGGGTCTAGCCTTGTCACATGCAGAGAGACATATTTGGGTACAGTTTTAATTGTGGAATTCTCCTGATTTTTGCCTACAACAAACCTTTGATTTGAACGGTTTCTCACCTGCTTCCATCCAGAGTTGTCATTTACTGACACTTTGCTATTCAACTGCTGAATTTCCTTCATTTTAGTGACTGTTTGTGCCTGCATAACAGCTGCATTGACTTGCTGCACTGAGATTGCAGCATGATGTTTTTCTTTTTGTTTTTGCTGCTGGCAACAAAATTGGTGCCGCAGTCACTGTAGATATTCACCACCTTTCCTCGTCTGGAGATAAAACGCCGTAAAGCCGCCAAAAATGACTCTGAAGTCAAATCTGAAGTGACTTCAAGATGTAAGGCCTTTGTACTACAACATACAAATAGACATAAGTATGCCTTCAAAGTCTTACAACCTCTAGTACGATTGGGAGTTATTAGAAAAGGCCCGCCCATATCAACACAAACATGAGAGAAACACTTTAATTGATTTACGCGGAATGAAGGAAGATCAGCCATTAGAGGTATATTAGACGTAGGATTCACCCTAAAACACCTTAAACATTTTCCAATAACAAAGCGAATGGCTCTCTTGGGATTTAGAATCCAAAAGTTTTGCAAAATGAGAGAATGAGTGGTTTGAAAACCAAGGTGAAAATTGTCTGAATGTGTTTCCATAATAATTAACTCAGTTAATCTGCTTTGACGTGGCAGCAGCATGGGATGCTTGTAATTATACGCAACATCAGCATGTTTGAGCCTCCCACCTACTCTTAGTATACCTGAACTATCCAAAAAAGGAACCAATCGTCGTAACTGATTTGAAATAGGTTTTTTATTTGTGAGGTTTGAAATATCCTCGAAAAAATATTCGGCTTGAGTTTGTTTTACCAATATCAAAAGAGCCTCATTAAGCTCAGACATAACTGGATCATGAAGCCGTTTATTGTCGGAATTCTTCCAATTGAAAACAAATCTCAAGCAATACGCTATTATTCTCTTAATTTTAACAAAATTAGAAAATTTTGAAAGTAATGTAGCTACTTCTGAGGAGGTGCGTGTCGAAACAAGGGCAAATGGCCTGGATTCGTCATTACAATCACTAATGACAACTTCCAACTTATTACAAGGAAGTATGTCAGAATGCAGCCACGGAGGCCCCGCCCACCATAAGGGGTGATTTATCAACTCGGTGGGTAGTAGACCACGAGATGCACAATCAGCAGGGTTCTCTTTTGTGGAAATATAATGCCAGATATTTTGAGAAACTTTTGATTGTATATGTGTAACACGGTTACTTACAAAAGTCTTCCACCTGTGAGGGGAGGATTTTATTCAAGCTATAACGGTTCTAGAATCACACCAACCATAGATATCCGCGAAGACAAGTTTAGAAGAGTAACAATTAATAACTTCCGAAATTAAGTTGGACAAGAGCACTGCCCCACACAGTTCTAAACGAGGAACTGAAATTCTCTTTAATGGAGATATCTTAGATTTCGCGCAAACTAGCGAAATAGCAGGAGCCCTATTTTTTGCTCAACAATCGAAAATAGACCACGGCTGCGTACCCTTTCTCGCTCCCATCACAAAACCCGTGAAGCTCTACTGAGTGGTAGTCACTCGAAATTACTCTTCGTGGAACACTTATATTCTTTAATGTGGGTAATTCATTTTGAAATTGCAACCAACGATTTTCGACTTCTTGAGGAACAGATTGGTCCCAATCTATGCCCAATACCCATAAATACTGTATGAGATATTTGGCAAAAAAAAGATACAGGGGCTATAAAACCCAACGGATCGAAAATGCGTGCCAATTCAGAAAGGATGCCTCTTTTTGTCGCAGCATTATTCTTAGGAACGCAAATATATGAAAAGGTGTCTAATGTGGGTAGCCACGTTAAACCTAAAATTTTTATAGCACAATCGCTATTATCAAAGGAATGAGGCTGTTGCTGACAGTCTGAGGGAGGCACTGCTTCTAGAATAGCTGGGTGATTAGAAGCCCATTTACGTACTTCCAGCCCATTTCGACCCAATAATTGAATAAGGTCTGCTTGTAGGCGTAAAGCTGACGCAATAGAAGCCGACCCAGTGACCAAGTCATCAACAAAGGAATCTGATTTTAAAACCTGAGATGCATCAGGGTAATTAGTTTTCTGATCCTCAGCAATAAGTGCGCAAAGCCAGAAATGGGGAAGAAGACACTCCATACGTCACGGTGTTTAACACAAACTCTTGAACAGGGTCATTTTGTGAAAAACGCCACAATATCTTTTGATATCTTCTGTGGGCCTCCGTCACTAGAATTTGACGATACATCTGCTTAATATCGCAGGTAAACACTACGTCATGAAACCGAAAATTTAGCAATAAAGAAAATATGCTTTGCTGAAGCTTAGGGCAAATTAAAAGAGCATCGTTCAATGAAAAACCAGTAGCGTCTTTAGCACTAGCATCAAACACTACTCTTAACTTTGTAGTGGCACTATCTGGCTTAAAAATGCAAAAGCGTGGAATAAAATATTCTTGACCACTCGAGGACCCTACCCTAGATAAATCCAATGACATATGACCACGGTCCAAATAATCTTGCATGAATTCGGAATAGGCAGAATACAAAGGAGGAGTTTTTGATAAACGCTGCTCTAAGGAGCGAAACCGTCGCAGAGCAACATCTCTGGAATCGACAAATTGGGGATCACTTTGTTTAAATGGCAATGAAACAACATATCTACCATTTGGTTTAATAAAGGTTGTCTCAGTATATATTTTTTCACATAAAATATCTTCGTCTGAAGGCAAAATTTCAGCTGGAATTTCCTCAATTTCCCAGAACTTTCTTATAGCCACATCCAAGGGTGACTCACTGTCACTGGTAATAAGAAATGTACGAACACCAGTATGGTGAATATCAGTTTTTCCCATAATAACCCAACCAAATATGGTATTAAGTGCGACTGGCTTTCCGGGACCACCCTCAATTCGCCCTTTATACAGCAACAAAGGAAACAGGTCTGCCCCAAGCAACATATCAATCGCAGCAGGTTGATTAAATTTCTCATCAGCCAACTTTAAATTTGCTAAATATGAAAAGTTTACAAGTGAAATGGGTTGCTCTGGAAGATGAGAACAAATTTTGGGAACTGCCATAACTTCAACATTAAACGTAGATGAAGGGTCGCCAATAGGACTAATTATACAAGAGGCTAATCCTGAAGAACTTGTGGAAATTTCACCTAAACTATAAATAGGGAGGTGTGACTTTCTACGAGGTAAGCCTAATCGCATAAGGCATGTATCCGTGATAAAGCTGGATTGACTTCCACTATCTAACAAAACTCTAACAGTCTGCAAGACACCCCGACTGTCAAGTACTGCCACCTTAGCTGTTGACAAAAAAACTGCGGAGGGAGACGACGTAACACTACATAGTAAATGTTTTAACCTGAAGAAAGTCAATGTTTTCATCAGGTGTAGGTTCTGACGGCATTGATGTGGTTTGTGGCTTAGCTGAAGAAGATAAATTATTCTTATTTGGTGGAGACTCATTGTTGAAATGTAACAGTGAATGATGTTTCTTTTTACAAATGGAACAACAATTGGGATCAGTACACTGGCGCGCAGAATGGGAGCCAAAACAATTTACACAGACACTCTTGTTTCAGCACAGTGAACCTTTGATTTGGAGTTTTCTTCAAAAATTGTGAACATTGTTCCAAATCATGATTTTCGTTGCAGCTAAGGCAACTTTTAGGCTCAGGGGAACTGCCGTGGAGAAAAAAGGTAGAAGGACCTGGACGAGAAGTCTTGTATGGCAATTTGTTGGGGCTAAATGAGTTTTTTGTCATATGATTTCCTTGGGAAACCTTGAGAAACGGCTTTGGCGACTGAGGCGTAACAATCAACGCAGCAGAGTCCAGTGCTAGACATTGCTTATGCAAAAAATCTGTTAACTCCTTATAAGATGGAATATCGTTTGAAGGATCTTGCGGATTGAACTGTAGCTCAAATCGCTTTACAGACTGAGCATCAATTTTTTTAATCAATAAGTTAAATATTATAAAATCCCAATGGGGCACAGGAAATCCCAGATTTTCCAGTGATTTTAGATTTTCATTAAAAATGTCCAACAAATGTCTAAGTGCTTGAGGGTTCTCACAGTTTATTTTAGGAACATTGAGAATCTCGTTCCAATAATGGGAACTTTGAGCTCTTTTATTTTGATAACGTTGGCAAAGTGCATCATATGCTATACAATAATTAGAGGCATTAAGTGGAATCGTTTTAACTATCGTTAATGGTTCACTAGTTAAAGATGTCACTAGATATTGAAATTTTTCAATGTCAGATAGATCCCGATTACTATGCATTAAAACTTTAAAAAGGTCTATAAAAGAACTCCATTCTTTGAGATTACCGTTAAAAGTGGGCAGAGATAATTTTGGTAAGCGTATATTCACATGTTTTGCACCCTGCAGACTTGAGGGACTTTGAGAACCTTCATGATATGGAGGAAAAATATTAATATAGAGTACCCCGATTGCATGAAAAACTTCGTCAAATGTGGAACGTACTACTTCCTCTTCATGTACCAAATCGTCAAAATCATCCAAGCCTGACAACTTCCAAAACTTCCTCAAACTAGTGAATTTTAATTTCCCAATTCCCTCTAAAAAAAAATCATGTATTGATTTATTATTACCATAAAATAAAACTACATAAGTTACAAAATCAAAATCCTCATTTATTATTTCTCTATGGAAACTTTCCATAATACACAAGAATAAAAAAATATCACCTGACTAAAACATCAATACTTATAGTGGAAATTATTAAAACAACCTTTTTTTTTTTCTTCATTAGTCTAAAAACTTAAACCTATATTTATTGAAAGAAAACTTCAATTCCAAGAGTGTTTACACAAACTAACACTAATATTAACAAAACATCCTTAAATTTACGTGATACTATTATTATTAGAATTATCGTCCTTCAACTGTAAAAAAAAAAATAATTGAATTAACTAGGTAAAATAATAAGAAATTAAAATTACTTACTATATGAACTGAGATCAATTTCATCCGGAAGTTCCGTAATATTGACATCAAACCTGTCTTGAACTTCGTTCAAAATTTTTGCGTCACTTTCTTCTGAAACAAAAGTAATCGCAAGGCCTTTGGTACCAAAACGTCCCGCTCTGGCAACTCTGTGCAGGTAAGTGTCTGAATCTTCAGGCATATCATAGTTGAATACAATGTTGACTCTTTCAATGTCCATGCCTCTGCCAAAAAGATTTGTTGCTACCAATATTCTCTAGAATAATTATAAATATATTAGTATATTTTGAAAATAATTATTAGGGGTTTTACAATGTAATGTTTTATGTTGGTTCAGAGAGATTCCCATCTACGTAAATAATCACAATATTGTATAAATATCATATGTCCCTACGTACTTATCATCATGTTTATAATTTGTTTTAATGAGTCCCGGAAAATTGTTCCAAAATAATTGTTTGAACAGAAAATTGTTCGAAAGGAAAATTGTTCGAAGGGAAAATTGTTCGAAACAACAACAATAAATAATAAATAGGATGCCCAAAGATGACAAAATAGCAAATAAAAAATCTAGGTCCGCATTTAAAAAACGTAAGTTGAGGATGGCCGCCTGAAGACGAAACGTCGAATTTTGAATTTAGTAGCACCATCTTCTAAAGGGGAAAAAGTGACAATGATAAAGTGACATTTATTTTAAAATTGCTTTTCAAATAAGCCCGGGAAAAAATATAAACGATTTTACAAAATTTCTGTTTTTTCCGAATATCTCCGGAAATATTCGGAATCTTTCTAGTTTCAAAACGGCAATCTATTGGTCATAAAATTGCGCAACTTTGCCATAATTTAATCAACCCCGTATCTCTTACGGTTACCGAGATCTCAATGATGAGGCTCGAATTTGGGCCACCCTGTACATATACGCCTTGGAAACGTAAATCCACCAAAAACGTGAAAAACCTTTTTTTAAATACAACAGCCCAAAATTTCAATTATTTTTGAATCTCCGATTGCTTGCTTCGCTCACCGAATCTCAAAGAGAAGATCCGTGGAACCGTAAATTTGGCATTGGTAAAAAAGAGCGCAGCTCAAAAGCGAGCGGACAAAAGGGCGCAGGTCAAAATATTATTGGCAACCAGTACACTTCTAATCAGTATTAAATGAACTGTAACGAAACTAACCAAAAATATGCAAACTAACCCGTCCACGTAATGCCTGCTAGTCCGTGTAATTTTGATTTTTCGAAAAAAAAAAAAAAAAACAATTTTCCATTCGAATAATTTTCTGTTGGAACAATTTTCCATTTGAACAATTTTCTGTTGGAACAATTTTCCGTTCAAAACAATTTTCCGTTCGAACAATTTTCCATTTGAACAATTTTCCGTTAATACAAATCTACTTAACACATTAAATTACCTTTTGGAAATCTTTGAATTGTTCATATCTGGACAATCTTTCTTTTTGGTCCATTCCCCTGTGGATTCCGATGGCGGGGAAATTTTGCTCGGTCAATAGTTGGGCCAAAGCCACACATCTTTGGACTGATTTGACAAAAATGACAACCTGAAATAAAAGTAATTTTACATAAACAATACAACACTGTTATTATTTAGATTTTTACATAAAATTTAAAAAATCAGTGAGAGAGTTCAAATTGATATCATTTATAAAATATCATACACACTTTTGTCATCATTAATATTTCAATTATTGAATAATTAATGTACTGATTAATTAATACTAACCTGATTAAATTCTAGAATATCCAAAAGCTCGAACAATTTTTTATTTTTTTCATTTTCCTTCAATTTAACATAGTGCTGCTGCAAACCGTGAAGAGTCAATTTGGCCTCGTCATCAACATAGACTTCCATGGGCTAAAAATATTGATAATAATGCTAAACAAATCCTCACCTAAATGATACACTAGCAATTTATTGATTAAATCACTAGTGTACCATGATCAGTTAAGACCCTAATATAGGATCTTAAAGAGAGAGTGATGATAATGAAAACTTGATATGACGATGAACAAGAATCAACATAAAAATGATTACTCCATTTTTTTTGGTAATACTGCATAAAGGGAGGGCTCCATTATTATTTGCTGGTAGGTGGCCATTTTTCCCCATCATTGGTGTGTAGTAGCAATCAGTGCAGGCTGTCAATGGACTTGATTGAATTCTTGTAGTAGTAACACAATTTTTAAAATGATTTTTGTTGTCTTCTTTAAAAAATGATTCTTCTTGCAAATTTTGTTGTACTGTAGCGCGGGCCAAAACTTCAGTAGACCCAAACCCCCTCTCTTGTTTTGTAGTAATTGTAGCCCACCCACATAAAACGCGACCTGCTCGTTGGGCTACAGTACGCTAATTTTTTAACCCCCGAGTTTTCAAAGTGAAGTAGATTTTTTTTTTATAAACATTCAAATTACATCTTGCATAAACTTCTTGCAGACCGGGCGGATGTCTTTGCTTAGGGTGGCGCTGAACATCATCACTTGTTTGCCGTGTGGTGTGTTTCTGTAGATTTCTTGCACGTCTCTTCTCATATCTGAAATAGAAAGTTTAATGTTTTAGTGATTTTTTTGGGATTTTTTGGATGGGATTTTTGGGATTTTCTTTGTCAGAGAGATTCCCATCAACGTAAATAATCATGATTTTGTATAATCATATGTCCCTACGTACTTATCATCATGTTTGAAAATTAATTTTTCTACTACCATGCGTAAAGTAACTCACTTCACACACTAGTGCGTAAAGTAATGTCAATGACAGATGTTGACAACTGTCAATTTAGTATTTTTCTGGTAAATTACTTCACACACTAGTGCGTAAAGTGAAAATACTTCACGCACTAGTTCGTAAAGTATTTGTCTAAATCTATTTTTTCACGCATATTTGATTGGTAGTAGAAAAAATTTTGTATGCAATTCGTGCGTAAAGCACCTTTTTTCACTTATGTGATTGTCGCACTCGCCTTCGGCTCGTGCGTCAAAATTCACATTCGTGAAAAAAGGTTCATTTTATACACAGGATGAGTTTCTTTATTTAGGCCTTATGCAGGAAAGAAAAGTTACCACTGAGTGAGACAAAAAATGTGGATGGTGAGCGATTGAGTGAGAAAGAATTTTGATTACTTTAATGAAGTGCAAAATTACAGTTCTGAATCTTTTCTATATTAATAATAATGTGAAATTTTGGGAAAATGAGTTTCTCACCTTCCTCTTTACATGCAAAAAGTTTCAAATTTCTCCTTTCAATAGTTTTCCAGGAAAACTTTGAAATGTGTGAGACTGTATTTTCAACTAATTCAGTTTGTGTAGGTTGATTTCCAAGATTTTTCACGTTGCTGTTTTCCACTGGAAAAATTTGAAATTTTGGGAAAATGAGTTTCTCACCTTCCTCTTTACATGCAAAAAGTTTCAAATTTCTCCCTTCAATAGTTTTCCAGGAAAATTTTGAAATGTGTGAGACTGTATTTTCAAATAATTTAGTTTGTGTAGGTTAATTTCCAAGATTTTTCATGTTGCTGATTTCAACTGGAAAAATTTGAAATTTTGGGAAAATGAGCTTCTCACCTTCCTCTTTACATGCAAAAAGTTTCAAATTTCTCCCTTTAATAGTTTTCCAGGAAAACTTTGAAATGTGTGAGACTGTATTTTTAACTAATTCAGTTTGTGTAGGTTGATTTCCAAGATTTTTCATGTTGCTGTTTTCAACTGGAAAAATTTGAATTTTTGAGAAAATGAACTTCTCATCTTCCTTTTTACATGCAAAAAGTTTCAAAATTTTCCCATTATTAGTTTCAAAATAAGGTAAAATAGCAAATTTTAACAGACAATCACGTGACTGAAAAACCCCCTCTCATTGGCTGAAGCATCAGCTTGCGAGGGTTAGAAATCTATCTCAATACGGCCAGGGTTAATCATCTTCAGATAAACTTACTGGTAACTATAAATTCACTGGTCCCTAATTCTATTGGTTGTTGGATAACTGGCTGACCAATAGAATTACTCATTGCCCATTTTTTTGACAGTTCAATGCATTGCTTATCTGTCAGCTATCAAACTAACAAATCGAAATCGCCACTTTAAAAGTTAAAGAGAGTTTATTTAAAAGTTTTTCCACCCTTAATGGCATGGGACAATTAATTATTTGCTCTTAATTATTGTAGTCATTTTGAGATAAAAAAAATAACTTTATTAGTAAAAATGTTGATGTAGTTAGCAACATGTCAAAAAACTGGTAAAAGATGTGAAATTTCTCAGTCTTTGTCTTTCACATGATGAGAAAAAAAACATGCAGATGTATCCAACTGAAAAATTATTACCGGTCCTAACAGCAAAAATAAGAGGTACTTCTGATTTGACAGTTATCTTGATCTCCGCTTTTTGACTTTTCTCCAGCTTGAAAGACAGTTTTTAGCAATAATCAAACAAATTGGTAGTTTTTCTAGAATGACAGTCATTAAATGTCATTATTTTGACAATGAGAGACGATTTATTGTCAAGTTGTGTAATTTTCAAGGAAATATGATTGTCATTCTTAATAAAACAATCAATTTTCGACAGTTGTCAAAATCGACATTAACGGTATAATGTTCTGGAATAAATGACACCTGTCGAAAGTTAATATTCTGACAGTTAGAAACGAATTGATATCTATGAAACTTCAATATTTGTGACATTTTCATAAAAATAAAACCGTTGATTTTGCATTAGGCAATTTTTGACAGCTGTCAAAATGAAATTTGATAGTTGAATGTCCAATGACTTTATAAAAAAATTGGCACCTGTCAAACTACATTATTTTGACAGTTAGAGGCGATTTTAAGTCTATAGAGCTGAAGAATTCTTGAAATTTTTGTGAAGAAAATTAAGCAATTTGGGACAGCTGTCAAAGTCGACTTTGACAGTAGGCTGTTCAACGACTTTCTGAAATAATTGATGTTAAATGTTATATTACATATTTTTTGACAGAAACGCTTTAATATTTATGAAGCTTGAATATTTTTAATATTTTCATGTAGAAATAAGCAATTTTTGACAGGTTTGATAGTTGAATTTGGTAGTCGGATGACAAATGAGTTAATGAAAAAATGCTCATCTGTCAAAATGCATCATTTTGACAGTTAGAGGTGATTTTGAGTCTATTGAGCTTCAAGATTCTTGTAAGTTTTATAAATAAAATTAGATATTTTGAGGCAGTTGTCAATGTCGACATTGACAGTAGGATGTTCAATGAGCTTCTGAAAAAATTGCCATCTGTCAAATTTTCTTATTTTGACAGTTTGAGACATTTTCATATCTATGAAATTTGAGTATTTTTGATATTTTTTTATAGAAATAAAATCGTTACTTTCAAGATAAGTAACTTTTGACAACTCTAATAGTTGAATGACTAAGCAGTTGATGAAAAAATTGGCACCTGTCAAAATACATTATTTTGACAGTTAAAGGCTACTTAACATCTATGGAGCATTAAAATTCTTGTAATTTCTCAAAAGAAAATTAAGCAATTTGAGGCAGGTGTCAAAGTCGATATTGAAAGACACGATTTGATATCTATAACTTGGATATTAGGTTATTATTTTGACAGTTGAAGACGATTTAAGATCTATGAAGCTAAAAAAACCCCGCAATATTTAAACGGAAATTGGTTACCCGTGATATTTGGATGAAATTTAAATATATTATTAGAAATGCCGTAAGCATCATTTTTTACCTTGGGCGCAACCTTGTATATATGACAGGTGAGGCGGTATCAGCTGTCAAATATTGGAATCTAATATTCAAAAATAGGGTAACTGTGGCAGATTTTGATGAAGCAAGTATCGATTCCTAATAATAATAATCAAGGAAAATCGAAAAATGTCAACCATTTTGACATCTGTCAAAACCCTGTCAAACGGCAGCACTCATATTTGTCAGTTTTCAATATTTTATGATGTGTCATTTGACAGTTTCAACCTATGTAAATTCTGAGTTCAAAAATTGAAAAAAAATTACAGAACTGTCAAAACCTGTCATTTGTTTTGTAAAAAAAAATAATCCAATTTGGCTCTTTTTAGTTTGAAGGTAGTTAATTGGTGATCAAACATTGAACAAAGCTCATAGACATCAAATTTTGACACCTGCCAGAATCTGACATTGGCTTTAATTGAAAAAAAAAAACTGAACTCTCGTTCTGTTCCAATTAAGTTATGCTAATTATTATGAACCATAAAAAAACCTTATACACAGGTTTCCGATTTTGACAGCTGTCTAAATTTGATGTCTATGAGCTTTGCTTAATGTTTTATTATCAACTTAAAACAAAAAAGAACCAGATATGAATCTTTTTTCCTACTAAAATAAATGACAGGTTTTGACAGTTCCTTTTTTTTCCAATTTTTCAACTAAGAATTTACATAAGTTAAAACTGTCAAATGACAAATCATGAAATATTGAAAACTGAAAAATATGAGTGCTGCTGGTTGGCAGGGTTTTGACAGATTTCAAAATGGTTGACATTTTTCGATTTACTTTGATTGACTTGGTAGGAATCGATACTTGCTTCATCAAAATCTGCCATAGTTATTCTGCTGTTGAATATTAAATTTCAATATTTGACAGCCGATACCAACTCACCTGTCATATAAACAAGGTTGTGTCCAGGGTAAAAAATGTTGCTTACAGCATTTCTAATGACATATTATTCAAATTTCATCCAAATATTGCGGGTAACCAATTTCCATTTAAATCTTGTGGGGTCCTTTATCCAATTTCTATAGAAAAAATTGAACAATATGAGACAGCTGTCAAAACAAAATAGAATTATTAAATGTCTAATGAGTAGTAATGGGCTTGTTCAAAAATTGAAATCTGTAAAATGTTATTTCCTACAGCCGTGCGGAAAATGAGCTCTCCCAGACGGTGCAGTAAAACTTTTACCGCACTCATATCAGTGCGGAAAAAGTTTCTCCGTACGGCTGTCAAAAAAAAAAAACTACATTTTTACGCCTGTAGGAAAAATATTGTACCTAACACTTGCGGAAAATGAATTTTTCCGCACTCGGCTGCACTTGTTAGGTAAATAGCTATTATTTTGACAAGCTATCTTACATTTGTTGATCTTTAAATTTGGGTCATTCTTAATACGAATAAAATTGTCATTTTTGAATTTTGCAGTTTCTGACAGCTGTCAAAATTGAATTTGATAGTCAAACATCCAACGAGCTTTAGGAAAAATTGACATTTGTCCAAAGATAAATTGGAATGCGAACATAAAGAAAATCAAAAAAACTAGGAATCACAAACCAAGGAAACCCAAAAGACTGAAATAAAGGAATCAGAAAAATTGAAAAGCAACCTATAAATCAGGTAAATTCAAGAGTCTAGATTCTAGACTCTAGAATAGGGAAATAAGGAAAATTTAGGATATTGGAATGAAATAAAGCAAGAAATTCAAGAGCCTGGAATCAAAAATCAAATACATTTAAGAGTCTGGAATGGAAGAATTAGAAAAATTGAAGAGCCGGAAATGACAAAGAGAGGGAGTCAATGCAGCTGC